AGGGGTAGGTAAAGAGGTAGGGAAGAGTATTAGGTGGTGATATGATGTGATGGGATGGGATGGGAGAAGGATATTGGAGAGAATACGAGTACTTGATTTGAAATTGGATGAGAGGAACTCAGACGGGGGGAGTGGAATGAGAGAGAGGATTTTGGGGAAATGTATCGTGGCAAATGATGGGCGAATAATGAAACTCTTTTACGACTTGAAGAGGTTTAATTCGAGAAGAAGATTACAGTTACAGTTACATATAGATACTAGAAAGTACCTAGAATAGCTTCCCAGGTTTACCAGCAAAGAAGCAAATAAAATTCATAATAAAGAAGTGCATATATACTCCGTCCCGGAGAACCCCCCCTCCCCCAAACCACTCAATCCTCCTCCCACCCTCCACCTCCCATCCTTGAACCCCCGACCAACCAACCAACCAACAAAATTAACCTGTCAAAGATACAAAAATACCGTTACAGTGCATACTAACCCTTCCCCTTCTCCTCCCACACATCCCAGAAAATCAACAGTTGGAGGCGTCGCTACGCGACCAACAAAGACCCATATCCAAGACCCCCGTTTCACTCCCTGCACGAACCCCTCACACGGCACAAAATGGGACAGGACTTCTATATTCGGAGTTAATGTATGTTTTCGTAACGCCGTGGAGGGCGCTGGATGTACTATGCAGAAGGGGAGGAGGTGGACAATTAAGTTGAGAAGGGAGCAATGCAGAGTGCCTTTCGTGGGTACGCTGTGGATGTGGGATGTGTTGGAATTTTCATGGCATGGCATGGTATTGTCACTGGAGGTCCGACACTGGAAGACTTCCATTCAGAGAAGAAGTAGCGCATTTTCTGTGCAGGAATCGGGCCGTCAAGTGACCTGGGAAGTATGCACACGATATGTAGAACAGGCTATGGTTGCAAGGCAATGTGTACGCCCGGTTATAACTTATGCAGAGCTCCGTGGAGAAGAGAACGAGACGTAGAGATACTGAAGATTCAACTTTGATGCGATGCTTTTGGTTAATGGTCTGTCTGTCTTGTACTGCATGAACAGGGATTTGTGGATGAGGAAATGCATTCCATTTTGGGGTATAGTTTCTCAAATAGAACTAGCTTTGAAGATTCGAGGTCTGATGAGTGATGAATAAACTTCCCTCTTAGGTTACCTCCCTCTCAATAGAGGGCTGGTTTTAGAGCAATAACGTCAGTGATGTATCAATATGGTAGATAGGAAAGAGTAAAATAGTTTAAACGCCATGTAAATGCCCAAAGAAATGGTGCAGGATCTGTATAGGAAAAAAGTCACACTTCACGTAGAATTCATTAGCATGGAGAATAGATCTTTAGCGTGGTATATTTGAGTAAATTTATTGAAGTTGTACACCTAATCTGATTCTGACCCATCGGAATCATTTTGATTGAATTCTTGAATTTCATCTTCGGTGGCTACACCCAAACCTGCAGCACTCATGAGTCTATCTTTCTTCTTGTTTGCTATAAACTTTATCAGTAACCATCTCTCAAATATTCAGTGGGGAAACGCAGAACTTACTCCCAGGGTCAACATCAAACTCCTCTTGAACTTCACAATCTTGTAACTCTGATTTATCTCCAATCACACTGCCCTTTCCTAACACACAGTCCGTTAATGTGCATGACGATCCTACGGTAACTCCATCCATCAATACACAACGAGTTAATCTTGCTCCGGTTTTGATTTGACAATTTGCACCGATAACGCATTCCTTGATAATGCACTTCTCTTCGACAATTACATTTTCCGCTAAAAGACAATCTGGTCGTACCGTAGTCTTCTGTGCGATTCCTTCTGGCCAAGCTATTTTGCTGTTATGGGCGAAAGGAGAAGCGGCATCACGGCCAACTTGATCGATAGCTTCAATTTTGGCGAGCTGGAGGGATACATTTAGAAGAATAGGAGCTGTATCTACTCGTCGAATAAGTGGTGAAGAGACTTCTGCTGTGGGCTTTGAAGGATGAATGTAGGCAAGGATTGGAGGAATAGCCAAGTTTGATTTATCGTTAGCGGTCGAATTCTCTGATGATTTCCTTGATAAAGGATTCTCAAGTTTAGAGGTCCAAGTTGAGCTCAGATTACCGTAGTCGACATCATCACTTGTTGGGCCATTGTCAAGCATATTGTCGTCGGACTCATCAGGTCTTGTTTTTTCAAAAATGTCCCGCAAGCCCAATTTATCACCTAGACCTTGTTGCCACCCCGCTTTAGCCCACCATCCAATAACATCTTCACCAATGTTGTCCATGTGCTCGTTTGCGCTGATCATGTCAAGTACCCAGGCTGGGAAAATGTAAATATGCGCATCTCGATGGGAACTGAGCATTCGAATGCGGGAGTGGCTGCGTACCAGGGCATGCCGAATTGGTAGCCCTTTTTTATCTTCAACTATATCCTTTAGGGTATCTGTAGGGACAGAGTAGAGCAAATTTGAGACGTGAGGAATCAAAGATGATTTCGAAGGTGGTACAGAAGTGGCAGCGAGGGGCGAAATTGCAATGAAATCGGTTTCTTCGCCCTTGATTGGCGTTTCACTCTTGGTTTCATACCAAACTCCAAGTCCACCACGTCTTCCACCTCGTTCACCACCAAGTGCCATTTTTGGACCCTCGTGATCTCCTCCCGTCGCTCCACCCAAACCTCCTTCCTTCACCATCCATGATTCGATCAAAGATTCCCCGCCGAGCTCACAAACCAAATCACAGGGAAGTACTATGAAATCACCCTTGATGATGTTCCGTACTTCAGGTAATCGAAAGATTTGTGCAGTACCTGTGGTTTGATCTAACTCTTCGGGTGCTAATAAATCAGGTTTTGGCAATGGCAAACTTGTCAAATGTGGATTGGTAGCCAGCGCTGTTTTAATAGCGTCCTCTGAAGAAGGTGGTGTGATGAGAGTGATATCTGAATAAGTGTTAGTATCCCGAGAACCTTAAATCTCTATATTCACAGTAGCCCTAGGACCCTTAATCGGACCACTCTATTCAACATAGCATTTAGAGCTATTCATCCACAGGAGTCTCTGAGACTTTGACGATAGGTACGGGAACATAGATTCACTTACTAGTAACTCCCATTCGATAACAGAAATCGATAGGGTACCAAACCATGGGTCGATTTGCTATAGGTATTAAAGCCTTTGGGTTCTTATCTGGATTTGAGGTAAAAGTAGGGAAAGACGATCCTGGCCCACAAAGAATTATGGCCTGGAAGCCAGGCGCTGGCATGGCGTGAGGCATTGTCGGTTATTTCTTTTGCGTGAAGAATAGTATTCTAGTCAAAATAGGTACGATATAAAAAGCCGTTGTGGTGGACGGAATAGGAATCTAGTTCACAAAAAACCAGTGCTTCGTACTAGGGTATGGTATCCAACTTAGATTGAGCGACTGAGAAGCTGATAAATTCTGAGAGAGAAATTGCGCCGGATGTGTTCTGAAAGAAAAGTGTGGTTATTCCGCGATTGCGTTGGTAACTGTACTCTTTGCAATTCATGAAAAATGTCGAAACTAGTGTCACATGAGTCACACGCTCACGTGATTTGATCGTTTGATGCCCGACAGTCCTCATCCAGCTTGAAAGTCATAACCGAATGTATGTTGATTTTATTCGTCGGTTCTCCGACTTCAAGAACAAATATTTTCTGCTGCTTGCTCGGTGCAGAGGTCGATATTTACCCTGAAGAATTCTAAGACTACTTCCTGTTGGAAAACTTCCATAATGGATAAAAACGTATCGATCGGCATTTCATCAATTACAAGCTATGAATATAGATCTTTCATTTCCATAGACAAGCCAAGTGGTATTAAGTCAGAACAATAAGAAACCACAGATAATTTCAACATCCCATGTCATTTCAATGCCTAAAAGGAGGAAGCAAATTGGAAACAATCAAGCACCATCAAGTTGGATGGTATACCAGCTAGTAATATTTAAGAGTGTACTTAGTAGCTACGACTTAGATGCATATAATGGGGAATTTAAATTTGAATTGCACGTTTCTGAAACATGACAGGCTCTACTTTGATTGAGCTTTATTGCACGGTGAATGTCATTCCGAGGAGCAGTGCCTTGAAATCCTACACTTGGATATTATATACAAAAGCTTGTGAAGCCAACCTCACCAATCCCTCAAATCTCCAAACTATCCCTCATTATTCTCGCTCTCTACTCCCCGACCCAATCCACTCCTTCCGCCCTCTCTCTCTCTCTCCATCCCTCCCCTCCACCCTCAACTCTTCCTCACCCCCCAGCAACGCCAGGTCCCAGGCAACGAAAAGTCATCTCTCTCTCTCACTCATCAGCATCACCCAGAAGCAGTGTAATACTGGGACACCTCCATCACTCACACTTGACGAGCAAGTGTTCGCGACAGACACAACAAAAAATTCCGTAACTAAAACCCTTTCTGGCGAAAGGATCCACATAGTTAAACATGGATAGAACAGATACTACACTTGATCTAAGCAAAATTGGAAGAGATGCTAAATCGGTGAGGAGAGAAAAGTTTGAATGGGGGAGTGCGAGAGGGTTTATATAGTTTTGGGGGGAGGATGTTTGGGGAGGACGATTGCTGCAAATGTTGCAAACATGGCTGGATTGGGGTTGTGTGTCCGGGGTGAGTCAGATGGAATGGGGCTGTTGCCTAGATACGGTGTGGCGATGTAACATACTCAATAACCAACCAACGACAATCAAAGTTGGAATTACCAGAGTCACTGGATCAGGAAAGAGAACCGTGTTCAATAGATAAGTACCAGCATTCAACAGAATTATGATTTCGTGCATTCAATAAGAAGATATCCATCATACATAAAATTCGCGAGTCAGTTCATGAGAAACATCCTGTGACCTCAACGCTCCCAACCCGGTATCAATCATTCGTCCAAAAACCCCTACTGTATATCAAAGGTACTAGGTATATAAGAATAAGAAAAAGACGCCCCATATCTGCCTGTTCGCTTGCCTGCCTATTCCACTCCAAGAACCTTTCTAGCCCAAAAGTCTCCGATACGATCTCCTTCTATGACAACAACGCCTCTTCCAAGACCAACCCTATCTTCTCTTTCCCACCAGTGTTCTTTTTTTCTTGAAACTTGACTCTCAGCTTCGGATTCGCTATCTGCGAGTCCTCCATGGCCTCCATCAGCGCCTACGATTAGAACTACGTCTTCTCTAAACCAACTTTGTAGATGGTTGATCGCCGATCCATTCTCTCCTGCAAGGGATTCTTGTAGGTATATAAATTCAGGTGCGAGATGTCGGAGGATATGAACGTGGCCAGTTGGAGTGGTAAATGGTAGGACCATAGTCTCTTTTTCCACCAACCCTAATGCTTCATTGTATATTGGACCGAATGCAAGTGGAGCCGAAGGCCTCGGGGGAAACATGGGAGTCCTTTTCATCTGTTAGCTGGCGACCGTCGCAATTAGAAAGGGATATGCTTACAACTGTCTATCGCTTTCTTCCCCGGGGTATGGACATCTCCAGGGCTAATGTTCGAAAACGAGGAGCTGAGAGATCCACCCGGTCTTCCACCAGCAGCGTCTAGCGGATGCTCGGTTAATCCTGGTGCATATATTAAAACAAATAGTCGTATCTTAGAGAAGTCGGTTTTGCGAGGAAGATGAGAGAGGATTGACTACACAAGTAATTAGTAATTATTGGCTAATCAATGTAACTACATTAACAAACCGCATATTCATGATGATAGCCTGCTTCGGAAGCGGCGTCATCATCGTGTGATTCTGCAGACACTACAATAGCGACGGTCTTCCTTTTCCCGTTACTGACTGGTGTTCGAGGTGCTGCGGAAACTCCTGCAGCGCTCTCAGAGCGCATTTCGATTGGCCCTGGGGCTGGGGCCGGTGTTGTATTTGTAGTAATGGGTGGACTTGGAGCAGCGTTTCTTCGTATCACTGATTCTTCCTGCCATGTTCTATGATCGTCGAAACCATGCTTGTCTTCCTCCCGGATTGAGGAGAGAGCACTTCCCACAACACCACCTACAGCAGCGGCTCCCGCCGCAAGACTTCTACTTGCACTATTGATAAATTGCTGCGGACTAGGTGTTCTTTGTAATGCGCCTGACATTTGAGCTATGTAACCTTGAGATTCTTCAGACCGTGAAGTGTGTGGTGGTTGTTGATCCGTTGTGCCGAATGAAGCTTCCCCCGGTCGCATATCGCCTGCGTACGAAGGAGGACCTGTTCGAAAACTGCCATCTGGATTTCTTTCACCATATTCTGGTCTTGGAGGCTGAAGAGGTCGGTTCTCATCGTCGTCGTCGTCGTCTTCATCACTTCGTGTACTCCATATCCATGCTACTACACCTACTGCGGCTGCAGTAACGGTGAAAGCCAGTGGTAACCAGTAAGAGATATTTCCTCGACGCGCCTGTGCGCCTCTGCGATCGTATGGGGATGACATTTAGGAATGAAATCGCCTCACATTCTCCATTGATTAAATCCCCAGAAAAAGCAATAAATCGTAAATCATAAATTCATAAAAACTCGAAGTGTGCTGCTCATTCAATTGTGGAGATGAAGCATTGATCAACAAATCCCGAGGGAGATTGGAGAGGCTGGGAGGCTTATGCTGCGTTTGACCTGAGTTTTAGCCCTGTCAGTTTCTACATCCTCGGTTTGGCGCTGGCTCATTTCTTTGTTTGTTTGTTGTCCATGTGCCTGACCACTTTTTGTTAATGTCACGTGAGAGTACAAAATAACAACGTCCAAACATTTTTCGATCTGGAGATAAACTTCGACATTGAATTACAAAAACTATGTTAATGGCTTTCATGAGAAGAGGATAATCCTGAAGTATCTTCTAGAAGTACAAATAAGAGACATCAAACCCGATTTGCTTTTGGAGCTTGATACAATACTTATTGTTCCAGATTTTACGATACTCTGATTGGATATTTGAGCATACTTTCGAGATATTCTCATGATTTTGGATTGTAAGAAGGAAGATGGAGGATATGGAAGGTCTGTGGTGTCTAGTCTCTGCCGAAGGGAGCATTTGATTGGTCTACCAGAATTGTTCCAGGAACTCTGCGCCGCCCGTATGGATCTAGAATTCGACTAGGACAATTTGATACACTACGTACACAGATACCCCCTCTTGTACAATTCCGAAGAGGTTTGAGTCATACTGCTCTGCTCTTTATATCGCTGCAAATTGCGTTTGGAATTCGCTCTGCAGCCTGCCTTCACTTGTTGGCCTACAATTTCCACTGGAATCAAGCCCGAATCAAGTACTCAACCTAACATCTGCTGGCTGGCGTCAAGCTCGCTCTCTCGAATTGATGAACTTTCCGCACATGCCCCATCGCACCAACGTTCGTCGTAGGTGTAAAAGATAACCATTTGTTGACCGATTCTACCTTGAATATCCAATTCCAGACAGCCATGTCGTGCCACTCACCCATCCACTGTACTTTCGATTTCCCCGCGTTTTCGAATTAACTCTAGTACCAACCGCGCCACTAAAGTTACTTGTGCTGCCCGAAAGCATGTAACCCCGCTGCTGAGAGAACCATGTTAGGACTCTTGTGCTTTACCATCTTGTGGTATGTGCATCTAGCTTCGGAGTTGCATACTTTCTGACCGCACGAGTAGCTGCTAATGTGAGACCCGTTCAAGGCCATTACCTTCTGACTCTAGCCCGATATAATCGAGCCGCTCTGAAACAACTCGCTATTAAACCTTGTACTCATCGATACTCGTCCCAATGCTTCTTCCCAACCATACATGTGCGACCAACCGACCAAGCCCCATTCCTACATTGACATACAGCTCTCATCGATATTCCGAAGCCCATTTGTATACTCAACAACCATTATTATCAATGCTATGCCCTCATGTATAATCGTTGCGGTCCTCGTTTATATGTTGAATGCTCGGCCCATTGGTCAAGGTTCAGATTGATAGACAGGTTTTCGTCGTCGCACTTTATATCCTTCTACTTCTTCCGTATACCAGTATCGATTCTCGTAATGTGTAAACGTCTTGTACACGTATTTGAAATGACATTCATAGGAGTATCCAATCTCTCAGCAGCTCTGCGACAAATCTGTGACAAAAATACCGCGTGCGCCTGTGTACCCCAAACCATCATTCCTTCGTATTTTCCTTGCATATTATGAATTTCCTTCTAGTAAACATCTTCCAATATTCCCGCATATATCTCCTTTGTATTTTCTCGTAGTTTGTCGATGTTCTTCGAAACACGTTATTCTGTGTTTGGGCGAAGAAGAAAATGGCATGCGACATTCTCTCAAATCCAGCAGACGAAAATGAGACTGCCACCTCCAAATCCAGGTACTTCCAGAACTTGATCTCAGAGATGTACCAAACTTTGGCAGATCATTTAAAAATACCTTCTCAACTCGATTCCAGAAGTTGAAAACAATCCCTCGCTCAGAACCTCTTGTGCGGTCGAAGCAAATCGCACAATGCAGATTTCGCCAAATCTCGACCAAGTTAGGAAGCCCCCCAACCTGCCCCTCAAAACATCTCCCAAACCTGATCTTAGAAGTTCACCAAACTTTCATATAGTACTCCAACATACTCAAATAACATACCCCCCAAATTTAATCCACATCCCACGAGCCGTTCTCGCAAAATCCCCAAATGAACCTTTTTCCCAAAATCTCCAACCAATCACATCCCTCCATTCCCCTCCTCCACGTGATATTTCTGCCCGACAAAGCGTTTTGTTGCACGTCTGTGGGTGCTTCCAAATATGGGGCTTTTTTTCGACACGACGAAATTTTTACACATTTCGAAAGCTCTCAATTGCGCGAGTTTGGGAAAACTGTCAGAAATGAAATACGCTAAGGATTGGTGGTGGTGTCGACGTTTGCGTTTTTGACACTTTTGGGTGGTGAGCTTGCGAGCGGGAATTTGCGGACGGCCTGGGTGAATTTCGCTCGGTGTCTTTTGTCCCGGGATGGGATTTGCTGAGCGAGGAATGGATGGGAGGTGCGAGGGATCACTTTCACTTGATTCACTCTTCACTTGGGAGGGTTGAAGTTTGGTTGCACGTCTGAATCCTTTAGTATATGTACTTTTTTTGGTTTAGGGTTTTTATGGGGATTTTCTGATAGTAGGACTTAATGCGTCGGCTTTTCACTTGACATGGAATGTTCAGATACATATGATTTTATATTCATCTAACCTAGTTATCTAATCTAGTTACGTCGACGCTCAACTATGGACTGGAGAAGTTACAAATCGATACTGCTCAGTGCAAGAAACCTTTGATCGCGCATCTACAACTTCACTTGATAAATTTCATTCATTCGAGCTATGACCACGAGATTTCAACAACCACAGCTACATGCACTGGATTTAATACCTTCACATAAGAATTCTTAGGGACTGTGCATCTATTGCCTGTTGTTCAACATGTATCTAGTTAAAATAAATCCTTCTTTAAGGAACCTAAAAGTGAATACCATCAAGAGCAGAGAAGTTTTGTTACATATCTAGAACTCCCAGTGGTAAACTCCTCTGGCCCTACCAATAATCTAACAAATTCTCTACATCCTCAGGTGGCAGCAGCCTCATATACTGACCTTGCTTTCTTCATGTACAGAATGTTACAAAGTTTTGATAGTAGGATGAATACATAGATCTTATCAAACCTCACCTCCATGTACGTAGTCAAGTCGTTGCTGGGTAATCGATCAGTGAATACTACTTAGCGTGAAAAAGGTATTTTGGTCGCGCGCCAGTAGCCCAAAATAAGCACTTCCATTGGCTTGTTTTGTTTACAAAAATTAATCTGATAACATGGGATGTCCCAAATTCATATCAGACGAGAGCCGCATTAGGGACCGCGTCAAATTTATACGTCATTACTTTACAGATATGCCGAGGCTCGGCGGGAATATCAATTTTCCTGGTCACGTTTAGCACGTGAAACAATCATCCCGGGGTTCTACCGAACTGTTGCACATCTGTGGTCAAAAATGAGCCCCATACAAAAAATGGTAACTTTCGCAATTATTGGAATTGTAACTTTTTTAAAGTTGGAGGTTATAGAGGGCGTTTGGAATAGTGTAGGAGTAAAGTTTCGGGGGTTTTGACCGCTTCGTTGTTGCGTGGCGCATCGGGGCGTTTTCGACGGTTTTGTTTTTCACGCGATTCAACTCGCAATCTGCGAGCGACGACCGTGAAACGTTGGCAGGACGGTCTTATGGAGTCAAGAAGTGGTTGCTGCTAGTTTGGAGTCTTTCCAGTGGTCACTCAACTTTTGCGGAGACTTTGAAGGCCGATCTGCACTCTTGATCTTGCGCCCCGGCGTCCTGTCTCAGATTTGAACGTGTTGACGGGTATAAAGGTATTCGTACGAGGTGCCACGAGTGTGCCGAAGAGTTTGCCCCATTCGTGGAGATGATTGGACCAAAATTGGAACTTTTGTAAACTTTTGTCTGTCGGCGCGCGCTGGGCTCGATGTGCATGGTCGGAAAATATGGGAAGGCATCTGCGGCAGCGGGTCATAGACGTTAGCAGAGTGTTTGCAGGAGACTATGGGAAGCATAGGTTCAGGTCAGTAGCCAAACATGCCGAATTTAATATAGGAGGAAAGGGTTGTGCGAGTTTTGTTTTTGCGCACCAAGAACTCCACTAGACTGTCGCATTATGAAGGATTTTGAATTGTGCGAGAAGTGTAAATTCTAAAAGCTGAGACTGTTGTGGATAGGCTTCTTATACAGAATCTCGAGTTTCGGAGAGTCAGAAAGAGAAGTGACATAGTAATGAGACGGGGCGTTTTGGAGCGTTGGGTTGCTGACCTCGATATTTTTGCTGCAACTTTGTTTCCGCTCCAGAAGGTAGGATTGCTTAAGTCAATTTGATCACTGCAGTGAATGTTATGGTAGGTGAATTTTGCATCTGCAGGTCTTGCTCTGTGAACGGTTGTAGGCTTCTTTGCACGATTCTATTGATGCATTGTTCGGGCGTCCCCTCTTTCGCATCGGACTACCTGTTTGTTCCGCCCTGTCGCCTTCCTGTATCTTTCCATTTGTGTTGTAGTTCAAGAGTTGTCTACGTCGAGGCCTGCCATCGCAACTTGCATGACGGGGTCGTACACAATATCCTGTCTGCAGCTCGAGCGCGTGCTAGTCTTTTGTCGCATCTGCTCTCAAGTAATCGCATTAGCTGGAGTTCATTGCTTGACTGCTATCTCATAACCTCATCTCCCTCCTTCTCTGAATATGCCTCCCCTAAGCACCACCTTTACTGAAGTCTTTCATTCCGCACCTGGATCAACCTCCAATCTTTGACAGTTTGCAAAGAGAATACCACGTCAATACAGCAGTAGATAGATTTGCCGCCCCTGGATGTCAAAAATATCTCCGCGGGTTCAAGCAATGAATGGAGAATTTGCAACTGTTGAGTGTTGCTGGAATGGTTTGCTTACCACTCTCCCCGTTGAACAGATATGGTTTATAGCTTTCAGCTTACCCCGGCACGAAATATTGCATGGTAAAGAAAGACAGTGAATGAGATACCTTGTGGGTGAGAGAGGTACGAGTTAATAAGATTGGATGGTGCGAGAGATGTCTTACTTTCGGAGTAGTATGGTAGGTTTTAGGTTTTGCGAAGATGAGATGAAAGAAAAATTGGCATTGGGGATTGTTGTTTCCGTAGAGACATTCAAACTTAATGGTACGATAGCAGTTCTTGGTTGGCAACACATACATCATACACCAAAAATTATGGATAACAGGATGAATTTAGATTAACTATGATTCAGTCGTGAGACAGATATATAGTGACTCCTGCTGTATGACTACCTTTGCTACCAAAAGGCTTCCCTTGCGGATGCGAGCCCAGATTGCTCTTGTGTTGTAAGAGATCAAAAGCTCTTAGGCTTTAATCTCCATAAAATTTGCTAGATGCCATCTTCCGTAGCAAGATAAGATGTTTCAACCCTTAATCTTCTTCTTCTTGTCCTTCTTCTTTGGTTCTGAGGCTGCGCTGCTCGATGGTCCATCCATCATTCCAGCCATTCCAGGCATTTGCCCTCCCATCTCAGCCAACATATCCTTGAACAAGTTCTCACTAATACCACCGCCGGATAATGCTGCACTATAGTATGGCAATATTTCTCCCATCTTCCATCCTTTTGGTACTGCAGGTCTGGGTAATGGCTTGCTAGGATCAGGTGGTGGTATGCCAGCAAGTTGAGGTTGCATGGCTGTTCGTTCTGTAGTCGGGTTTTCTTTCAGGTGTTTCGCGATCAATGTATAGAGGTGATGCTCTGTAATTCATCAAGTGTTAATTTATGCCAATGTAATGCCTCACAAAGTGCCCTAGAGTCTCTCCAAACAAAACGTACTGTTCTTAATAGCTGTGTTTCCACCTCTAATATTGACCTTAACTCGACCTGGATTTGCCCAATCCTTAGGATGAGTCTTGACCGGCTCAAATAGTGTTTCGATTCGAAGTCGAGAGCATGCAGCAACAATTTCTCGGGCGACTGGATTCTTGACAGCTAGCTCCATACCAACTCTTCTACCTTCTGCTCGGCTTCTGGTCGCATCAAAATATATTGGATAGACGCATTGAAAATCTTTGTACTTGGAGCTGTCTTCCGTTGAGCGGAATTGTGTGCCATCTGCGCCGGTGGTAATTTGAGAGCCAGAAAATGGTATGTTTGCTGGATTCATTTGAGAAGATTGGGCATTGGGAGGTGGTGCGCGTTTTGCAGCTGGCGGTGCCGCTGTCCTCTTCTTGATAATATCGCGGTCTGAGAAATCCGAGGCCACATCTGAGATATCGCCTTCTGATGGATCACTGGCGCCATATTCATTGTCGCTATCCTCGACCTCTTCAATTCTTGCGTGTGACATCTTGCTCGTCGTTCAATCGCCGATCGTGATTCAGGAGGTGTGTAGGTAGATATCCTAAGGATGTGGGGGTGGGGTCGACAAAGCTTAAGCTCAAAACCTTAACATTTTTCGGGAAGCGGCGATCGTCACGTGAAACATCCCCAAGCTCTTTAGCACTTTTAGCAAGCACAATTCACGCGTTTGAGAGATATAAGAAGTTTTGTCCAAGCCCGACTAACCTTTTCCCTCATTGCGAAAGTAGGTGGAAGTTTGGGGTAATGAACGGGATTTGAATTTGGTTGATTGTGAGTGGAAGATTTATCATTTAGGACTGGTTACGAATTGAGGAACAAGTATTGATCAGGATGACGATGGGTGCTTGAGATGGATAGTCGACATTTGAGGATCGGGGACTACTCCTCTGATTTTATAATCGTCCCCCCCCTTGAATAAACGCGGTCAGACTCAGAGGAAGATTCGGAACTACACGGCAACGAGGCAGTGTTTGGAATATTGAAATGAAGCTGTGCAGTTTGAAGGTCCCCACCAAATACACACTTGTCTGGATAACAATCCTTTCGACTTGCCAAGCCACTCTCATCAGGCCGCACGAATTGAGTGAAAAAAGTAAAGATTTTCATGAAGAGTTGAAAGAACCGGGCCCACACTCCGTACAATGTACCTCGTAGTAATTAATTAACCAAGTCTTATGTAATTGAAAAGGGAGGCAAGGGAGGTCAGTAAGGGAGTCAAGTACAATATGTACAACATTCGCTGGTGGGCTTTACAAACAACATCTGCCTAGATAATGGGGCAAAGACTGATGATACCAGGGGCCCATGCCGTGGCTGATATATGTAGCTTTCATTCCTTGATTTTGTGTTCCTGGATCTCAAGGGGCGAGAAGGTCGAAGAGAATATCTATACATATATATAGATGTATTACAGGCGGAATGATTGGTTGTTCATTGTACAATCTTCCTCTTCTTTCACTCAGTATTTTCAGTTCTCCTGAATTCAACTGTTCATAAAATGGGCGGACAACCTCGCACTGGGTCGAAGATGGTCGTTCTTCAGGAATAATTGTCCTAAAGCTAAGACATCTCTTTCTATCACTATGTCTACTTAGTAGGTACTGTACTTCCAAATTCGATATCATCAAATCCGGCTCCTCAATGCCGAATGATGGATGTACTTTCTTTCCTTTCTTTTCTTTTTTCCGGAAAAAGAAAAGCGTTGGAGGGGTCGGGGTTTGCCTTGTGGCATATTGAGGCGGCAACCTTCAATCAAGCCTTCTTCCAATCTGCTGGTCAAAAGCTTGGAACTCTTCTCGTAAAGCTGTAGTGTACTAAATCCCTTTGAAGAAATTGGGTATCATAGAGGTAGTGATAAAGGAAGGCAGCTAGTTTTGGGTAGACTTGGAGTCATACGAAGGAGGCAGTCATCTCCTTTCGCCAGTTCAGATCCAGAGTCTGTTCATATCCAGCACCTTCAGATTGCGAAGCTTTATAGAGGGTTTCTTCAAATTTGGAAGGATCTCGGGACGATGGGGAGCAACCTTGATAAGAAGAAATTTGATCAAGGTCACGAGCAAGAACAAGTCAGAGAGAACGACAAAAGAGATCATTACAGTATTGACATTGGGAATGATACACGTGGTGAGTCAGAATACTTTTATAGATCTGGAGAGTTTTTTCCGAGTTTATAAAATTGCGGGCTTTCAAGTGAAAATCCAACCTGCCTTATACGATGTTGTTAGTACTAGGTAGGTATAGGTGCATATCATACTGTAACCACGACGGCGCCATTACTACTTGTTGTATACAAAACACTTCAGAACGTTCTGTGAATTCAGCAAAAAATCTTTCAATTCACTTTAAAAATCTACCTTCACCCCTTTTCACCTTCTAGAATTGTATCCGGCAAGGCCACCTTCTGAGCTTGTCCAGAGAAAATCTTCCTGGGGCAAGTTCTCAACTTCCTAGAACCTTGATTCAATTCCTCAATTCTCAATGTCTCTAGTCAACTCTCTATGAACGTCTTCAATAATTGAAGTTAGCTAATTGAGTTATCTTATTATCAAGAGCACACGATGGATGACTCAAATAAAGCGATCTACGTTGAAAAAGGCGTAGATGTGTCTTTTGGAATCGAAAATGGTAAGAGTTTCTCTCATTACTTGGCAGCCGCCTCCGATCTAGGAGCCGAAATCTGAAAGTTTGCAGTCTTGCCTGCCAATAAAGAGAGCACCCAGCTAATGTTATCATCAAAAGTCTCCTCTAGATACGCATCTGAGACCAGGTCATGCTCGCCAGCTTTATCGGATGCCTCCTCGTGTACTCTGAGAGAAAGCCCACCGGAGCCAGAAACAGGGTCAAATCCCGTGTCAATAGATTCCACGGTATTCGACACGCAGCCTTCTTTCAAATCTCTCTGCATATCGCCCGAGATGTCTGACACACCTGTAACGCCAGCCAAAAAACGATCTTTGGAGGAAAGTGAGCTATCTTTCACGAATCTAGAGATTTTCAATGCTTCCAAACGCCACAATGGAACTCCAATCGCAGCATTTCATAGTACTTGCCACATGAGTTCTAGACCCCTTCAGTCCCGCAACATTCCACAAGCTGCTTCGCTCGGCCAGAGAATCCCATTAAATAGCCTTCGTACTCACCAATCCAATCATCAGACCGCATTTTCTCCAATTTCAAATCAGTCCAGAGCTGCTTGCGCCGATACCAATGTTTCTCGCCAGGGTTCATTCATCGCAGCCCCGGAGGAAATCATCAATCTCGACGACGATGAAGAAGATTTCCCTGCTTTTCAAATCCCTCCCGGAGTTGAGGTCATTGACCTAGACGAGTATGAGAAAGAAAATGAGCTTGAGGAAGATATATTTGGCATGGAGCAACATGCTGGCGCCCAAAGCAACCTTCAACGTGCGTTTCTTGCCGACAGAAATCCTGACATCGTACCTCCCAATGTAGAAATTCAATCACTGGCATGGAAGTCTAGTCTTCTCAGACCAGAGAAAACAATAGAGCTGAAGAACGGAACGTTCCTAAAGATCAAAACAATCGTCAAGAATCTCGCAAGTGATGAAATTTCGATCAAAGGGTGGAAACTCGTACGTACTCGAGATGCTATGCTTGGTGGCATTGCGGGAAAGAAGAGGAATGAGCTTGCATTTATTCATGAGGTTGATAGGGATGACAAACGAGATGTATGGGAGCAATCTGTACAGACGATTCGAGTCGATGAGGTTCTGAGGATCCGCCGCTTGATTTGTACCAATAGACTTCTGCCGGAATGTAGATACAATAAAGAAGACATTCCTGTGGAGGTTCGAAGTAAAGAAGAGAATGAGATATTGAAATATATAGAGAATGAGATGGTATTGGTGGCTAGAAGTGTTTTTGTGGCTAGATACCCGAACGCAGAGGCGAGGGTAAGGAAAGGTGCGCTTGTGGATAGACCTAGAGAATCGGGAATCCTGAGATCTTTGCATAAGGAAGAGTGTACGGAAAGTTATTATATCGATCCGGATGAGAAAAAGAAGGGATGGAGAGGAGAAACTATTTTGGGCGGCTCAGGAAATCTTGAAAATGGGAGAAATGCATTCAACTTTAACTCTCAATATACATACGGCGATGGATGTAAGTTCAAACTCCCTGAAATGTTTAGAATCATCTAACAGAAGTACTCAGACTGCGGAGCAGGCGGTATGACGCGCGGCGCTGCATCAGCCGGTCTCAAAGTGAAATGGGGCTTCGATTTTAATTCTCACGCAGGCGAGACATGGCAAAAGAACTTCCCCGATGCAAAATTCCATCTCTTGCCCGTCCACGAATTCGCCGCTCTCCCTGATCCACGCAAGAAACTCTGGGTCGACATCCTCCACCTCTCTCCTCCTTGTCAAGTCTTCTCGCCAATCCACACGTGTCCAGGACGCAATGATGAAATGAACTATGCGGCTCTCTTCGGAGTTATGGCTGCGATTGAAAAAGCTAGACCAAGAATCGTGACTCTAGAACAAACTTTTGGGATCCTGCATCCAAAACATAGAGATCCTTTTAATGGACTCATCGCCTGTTTTACGAATCTAGGTTTCGATGTTTCGTGGAAGGTGGTGCGGTTTCAGGGATATGGAACGCCGAGTCGTAGAACTAGATTGATTATTCTTGCATCTTGGTAAGTGTCTCCCTCGATTCATATACCCTCATTATCTTGCTTTCCAATCTCGCTCACAACATAAACAAATCTAACTTCCCCCACAGTCCAGGCGAACCCCTCCCCCACATGCCCCAATACACCCACCACAACCCACACCATCTCCGCCCCTCCCAAAACCCCTACCTCACACCCAACAAAGTCCTCTCCGCCATCCTCCCCAACGCTCCCAACCACGATCCGTCCAGCGAAAGACTCCACCGCGCAACCTACCTTCCCTGGGACGGCAACGTTATCTGCCGAGCGATCCTCACCAGCGGTGCCGGCGTCGGTCTCCCGAACGGCAGTCGCGGAATGACGAACCGAGAATTGGCCGCGCTGCAGGGATTTCCGCTCAAACATGTTTTTTACGGGTTGGAAATTAAGAAACAGGTGGGTAATGCGGTGCCGCCAATTTTTGCGAGGAGGTTGTTGGAGAGTGTGAGGAGACAGTTGGAGAGGAGGGATGAATGGGTAAGGGCAGAGGGAATTGTGCTTAGTTCTGATGAGGAGTAGAGGCTTGGGAGAACTTGCTGAGGTATTGGTGTGATTTTGGCGTGTTGCGTTCGAAGTATATGGTATAAATAAAGCTTTGATGTGGCTAGAGTGGCAGAGACTCACATGCAGAAAAGAGAATAAAGCATCATTTGAGTAGCAAGTGTGTTTGTTCAATCTGATTTTTACAATGGTAAAACTAGTTACTTAGACTTCGAAATCTTTTTAATTTGATTACATCTAATCTAATCTCACGGCGTGAAACACTCGAGATATTTGTTCCAAAGAAAATAGCAAAGAAGCAAAATCCAAGCCGCTTGTCGAAATCCACAATTCCATCTCCCTAAGTCAACCGAGATCCAAATTGACCCCCTAAATCATTACACAGAACTTCCCTACTACCTAGTACCGAATTTTCACTCAGATGTTTGAAATCTTGGCTGTAAATGTCTGATGCTGTGTGCATGACTATGTATTAATGGGGTAATTACACCCAATCCATCCATCCATCCGTATTTGCTAAGTATTCCTTATTATTACACCTGTAAACCTCCGTTTGCACGCATAACCGCACGCATAACCGCACGCAAAACTTCTCAGCCATTCCATTAAACCATACCCAGACAATGATGTATATACCTCCATTCCCCCTTCCCAGCACCCAGATGAAAAGAATTCCTAAAATCCCGCCTCATCAGTCTTGCCATTCGCATTCCTACTCCCACTCGCCTCCGCACCTCCCGAGTTCCGAATCATGATTTCCTTCGGTTTACTCGGCTTCGCTCTCGCCACATTCCGAATACTCGCTTCCCTCAGCTCCGCATTACTAAGACCACTCCTCGGTCTGGAAGCACGGGATTCTCTCCCCGTATCACTACTTCTAGGTCTTTGAGCCCTAATCTCATCATCATCATCCACCTCTTGTTCTGCCTCTGTGGCATTCATAAAACTGCCCGCTTCCTCCGGCACATTTGAAAGGACAGTTTTGAGATCCCGATCGAGAGTAGTAGTTGGAGAGTCTTTGAGTGATAGGTTTTCTGGTTTCCTATTTGCAGAAACCTTTCCCTTCCAACTTCCTAATCCTAAGACTTTCCAAGCTTTCCCAAGAGAGAATTTCAGTTCGCCATCGTCTCCGGCATCTAGTTCGACGAGGGGACTAGACGATGATGCGCTGACATCGCTGGCATTGCTCCAATTTCTTCCATGTTGGCTTGGCCGACGGATTGGACTTACATCATGACCGTGGCGCAAATTCTGGTTTCTGAAATCGGGAAGTTCAGATTGTTGGTGTGGGGGGATGTCGAAATAGGATTGTGGTTGTTGAAGAGGAGGGGTGGGTTCAACAGAGGGATTGCGACGTCCCGACGATGTCTGAGAATAAGCGGAGTCCGAAGTGGCTACTGGGTAGTATCCGCGACCTTGAGTTTGAGCGCGGTTACCAGGATAGGCGTGCGGGGAAAATGGGGAGTACGGGTTGAAGGAAGGCGGGGTTACGACTTCAGGACCGTCGTGTCGGTCAGATGAAAATCGTTCGGTTGTTGGGTGAGAGTAATTTCGGACGCTACGCGACGCTTCTGAACTAGTCATTTGCAGAGGATCGGTTGATATTGAACTCATATCGGATGGTGATGGGTATGAAGGGCGACGTCTATGTGATCGAGGGACGTTAGAACCACTGCGTGTTTTTGCTTCCTTGAATGCCTTTGTGGCCTTCTTTAGGCGCCTTAAGATACAGAAAGCGGCGATTAGAATCACGAGTAAAATAAAGGCTGCGCCACCTATGATGCCACCTATTTCCGGTTTCGTGAGACCGCTGCTTGTTGGTGTACTCCCGTTTGTTGCTTCGACTTTTGGTATTGCGGTAGCCGTGGGTGTGAGTTTTGGGACGGCCGAAGCTTTTGATGTATTCGCCGGGACTGATGGTGACGCTGGAGTGGAGGCTGTAACTAGTGTGGATGTAATAGTCTGTGTGTGCGAATTGCTATCTGTCGTGGTCAAGGTCTCGGTCAATGTGAAAGTCGTTACTGCCGTGGAATAACAATCACTCAACCCACAGCCCATACCATTCTTACAACAACCGTAGTTCAATGAAGCCGGACATAAATATGAGTTAACTCCACAAGTTTGGCTATAAGAAACACCTGGAGAAGCGCTACATCCGTCAATTGCGCATGAGTAGCCAGTTGGACAACATCCACCTGATTTTCTATCAGATAATTTGCGATATAATTTGGCATGTGATAAGAACTTACCTCCGGCATCAATTCCACAAGCTGTATATCCTGACGCTCCACAAGCCGAAGCAGGAGCTGCACTGGTGAGATAACAACTACTAGTACCGCAAGATCTGTTGTTTGGACAGCATCCTCCATTCATCGATTTAGGGCATAATTGATAATCGCTCGGACATTCTGATGCATCCCGCTTTCGCCCTTGAATCGCCTCGTGTATTTTATCCCAATGATTCGAACCCAATTTTCTCTTTACGATGCCTGGGTATGATAATTTTGGAAACTTCGTCGTCATTGTAACTTGGGTTGTGGTGGTTGCCGAGCAGGATTCTCCATCGCAAACTTTATCAGCGGGGTAGCAATGCCCATCCTTATTGCTTGCACATCGTCCAATGCCCTCAGGGTATTGATTGTCGACTTTATTCATTTGATTTGCCATTGTTTTGCGATGCGTGTTTTGACTTTACCAATGTGAATTGTTCGTCTCTCGTTAGATATTATCCTGCAAATGCTTCTTGAATATTCCCTATCGCGAGCGTAATTGTGCAACACAAGCATCTAATGTCTGCCGATATTTCTGTCCAAACTATTTGAATGCTGTAAGACTTGAAGCTGCAGCATGCAAGTTGGTATCGGCCCGCGAGGTTTGCACTTCGAACAGCGGGGTCTGTACTATAATGTCATGAAGCCTGATTGTATCAACGAAAGGAGGGCTTCGAAATTTAGATCAAGCGATTGTGCCCTTCTGGTCACAGAAATACTGCAGTATAGTGAGTGAACGATCTCGATTTCCCACGCTGTAAATCCCAGTAGAACCAAAACAAGGGTATATATCGCGAAGGGCGCCTCTTACGGATCCCACGTCGAAAATTTCACGTTCGGTAAAACGTGATGCAGGAACATAAATCAACGATATCTGAATGAGAAATTAAGAAAAATATCGAAAGACCGACAAAATCCTTACTGAGAAATGCATTTAGTCACAGATGGGCATTTGGCAAAGTGAGAAGATTGTCCCGCTGAGGCTCCATAGCACTTATCTCAGCCTCCAAGGTTTCCATTTTGGGATCGATGACAAGCATTGGCTGATGATTGGTAGTAGTAGCCTTGTCTGATTGGGTGTTTCTGCCACACAGTGTTGGGTATTGAGACAATTCCAACAAATCAGAGTGACTAGGGACGGAAGGAATTGAAGATGAGTAGAAGATACATTGATGCAATTAGCCAGTAGAAGTGAAGGTGGTGTTGATCGTGTATGCAGGACTATAAGAAAGGACTCAAGAAATTGTCATCGGACGTGGCTGGTGGTGTGGCCCGGAAAAGAGCAGCAGTAAATGTAAGATATGTACGTACACTGTCGTGTTGGTCAGAACCCCGCGAAGGAAGGGAAGCTGAGATAAGGATGACTGCGATATGAATGTGATACCAAACAATTTCCCCACTCTGCACTCGCGTTGTGTAAATGCAAAATACAAAGAGACAGAGGGGTGTTTGGTTCTCCTTGAACTATATAATTAACGAGCACGAACTGCACACAGGAAATGCTTGTCGCACCAACTTTGGCTGCCAGCATGAATTCTCAAATGGGCAATCATGACCGAAGCTGTCGCTTGTCAGCTGCAAGTATCTATGCAATGCTTCAGATACAAATTTTCTTTTTCCGACATCTCAATTGGTGGAAATGAATGTAATTCATGCGAGAAAGAGGCGCAGGTCCAAAAATGGTCGCTGTTTGGCCCCCAAATCAATAGATGACAGATTTGGCTGCATCACAATACCTAGTATGCATTCAGTGGGTTAGTACATATTGAGATTAGTCATCCAATTGATAAAGGACCATGTAGCTCTATCGCAGTAGCTCTCTTTGTTGTTCAACATTATTGTTGAAAATTTATAACTACTGAAAATCGCACCAAGAACCTAAGCACCGCTCGTGTTCCCGTAAGAAATGGAGATATCGACCAAATGCCACGCGATGTCTGCTATGGATAATCCAAAAGAAATGTTAGAGATGACGGCAGTCATCTCTCACCCTGCCTTATGAATAGCATTTTCCGAGTTCATGCTACATCCACATAACGTTCGAACAATGTCATGTTTAGGGAATCGGTTCTCATACAACATGAGGGAAGACTGTCTCTTTCCAATTGCTGTATGGTTGGAGTGGTGTGAGGGGCATCATACCCGGACAATCTTATATCTTGATACACCGATTCTGGTCGCTCTTCATCTGCTCACTGCTTAATTGCAGTATACAGAAGTCTGGATCGCTATGCGTGACTAATTAAGATGGAAAGTCGCAAAATGTCGGATCTTCCCTTGCTTTTGTCTCTCTTCGCAATGAAGCTTCTTTCCGGGAGGCGGCTCGAATAGTTTGGCAACAACCCTCTATCGATTAGTCCGTTCACTCCTCCACAGTACTTTCCCAAATTGTCGGGACTTGCTAGGTCATGCAAAAAGACTCATTGCCTATTTACATGCAAGGGCCCGTAGTTCGCAAGAACGCATAAGATCTTGCCGTATTGTGAGCTTACCAAAATGCGTTGAGATGCCTACACACCTGGAGAAGTGTCTTCGGCCATGGCCGAGTTGGTTAGATCAAAATAAAGTTATGGTATGCACATCTGAAGAGCTTTCCCTGTATCCGACGCTTTAGCACTTCTGTTCTTGAAGCGAGATAGGCTAGAAACAGGAAGTGAGATATTTCAAGTATTCACAAATTGAAATCAGAGGCTATCTAACATACTTGGATTACATTGTACGCGCCTACGCTCTCAATTTTTTCTTCGCAATCTGAAAAGCTATTTGGGAAGTCAGTACAGAGAGATAAATAGAGTGAGTTGGAGGGTCTGTAAGTTGGTGAATTGTTCTTTTGCTAGGCTCAGTATTATTGTTGGTTCCAAAATATCAATGAAACAGAAGGTGCAAATCAAGAGTCGTCGATGCACATGGTTGCTATTACATTGATTGGGGGTTTAGGAAGTTGCGTGGGAGAAAAGGTCACATAAATGAGTATAAAGGTCCACAATTCATCTTTCATCTGCGTTCTCAATCATACAACTCATACATTACAACATTCATACACAATTCATATTGCAATATTCAGTTATAAAACATTCATCGTAACTATTACGATTGCAACAATGGTTCAAATCAAACAACACATTCTCAGTGCTCTTGCACCTCTAGCTATCCATTTTTTTTCTCCCTCTTCTAAACCGGATCAATCTGCTCCATTTACGCTGTCTGTTATTTCTGATAACAAGTATCTAGATGGCTCTTATATACACGGTTGTCACATTGGAGCTGCTCGAACCGCACTTTGTGCTTTCCCCAAGTGTCATGCTCATCGTGAGGAAACCTCTCCGGTATGTTGTCAATTCTTGTGATTAAATTGCACATTCTACCAATACCAATTTTTAAATTTACATCAATTTCTGAATTCATATGAATGATGTACTGATATGAATGTTCAGACTACATTTTACTTCAACGTCTCTACTCCCCGCGTCGCCAATGAGCCCTCAGGATCCTTAGTCTATAACTTGCCATATAGCACGGATAAGTTTCTTTCCCAATCGGCAATAATGGAGTCTAATCGCTATTGGCATGATTTTGCCCATCCTTTATTTGCACATCCTGACGACACGGAAGGTATCTTTGCCTTCCACCACGATCGCTTGCACCTCAAAGACCATAGAGAGCAGCGATGGTACATCTGCGGTGGATATTCTCCTTTCTCCATCAATAGCTATCCCACTCTGGTTTGGTATCATGGAGTTGGAAATCCACATGTAGAATGTGTCAAGGTGGAGATCAAGAGGACATTTGTTTAATTCCTGGGGGTCGAGTAAGAACAATGGAGCAGTGAGCTCTAGGCTATAGGGCAGCTGAGATTTTGACAAGAATCACTTTGTTTAATTCGAGAAGGAAAGTTGATTGTGTATCAACAGCATTTGGGGGCATTGTTATCCCAGAGACGGTTTCACTCTTGGGCAAGCGTTAATTCTGGAAATATCAGTTTTTAATCGAGCTCTATCATCTTAGGCGCTATTTCCCTGGTTTGTCTTCATTGATTCTCTCGAACGGAGATTTGTGAATGGTGACTGCAGTGGCTTCGGCTGTCGTGTCGTGGTAGACTTCCTATGTAAGTTTTTTCCAACTGACCGCCAGAAGTCCAAGATTTATGCCAGAGCTCTCGAATTTGCCTTTCCTTAATGACGTTTGTGCTGAGATTTCATGACTCTTTTTGAATTTATCGAGTAGGAGCCGGCTCCAATAAATTGCATAGACGTGTTTCTGTCTCTGCTAGGGTCGAGATTTGGCCCCTATCACGCATTCCTGAGCATGCCAAGTCCCCAGAATCTCCCCTCAAGCGAACACATTATAGTCGGATCGAATCAAAATTATACTGGTGCATTGTAACATCACACCTCCATCAATGGATGTGCGGAAGCCTCTTGCCGTGAGGGCTGTGCAGGGGAAATTTCCTAAATTTAACTTGGCTGACTCAGCTGATCTGAGTATCCAGGAACTCGGAATATCTTGAAACTGACGAGTAATATTCATAATCTGCTGTGCGCCCTTCTCTGAACTTCGACCATTTCGCCAAGCTATAAATTGAAGCTTATCTTTTTTAAAATATGGGATCAAAGTTATGCAGGCCCCAAGGATCTAGAAGTTTTTCAAATTATGCTACGAAGATTCTGTATTCAGCGGCCCTCTTATTCTAAGCCTCATCTCAAGAAGGTGGAGATATGATTTCTCTCATTCAATGAAGGCAGCCGTGAGTTGATTCAATGACTTCTCGATTCGTTTGGGTCAAAAAATGCATCTGAAGTCGATGAAACTACTATCTGGTACAAATATACATCAGAGGTGTCTGTCTAGATTTTATTGTGTCAAGAATGCATCCATCCAAGAAGAGTCATCGTATGTGTAGTGTTCTGATAACCTCACGCGCTCAATCAGATCTTGTTCAAAATTAACTTTTCTAGCGTCATCCGGCAAGAACAAATACTACAGGCCTCTCGCAACAAGAACATCGACTCTCATGTTCCTGCTGGTAGCCACATTACTGCTCATCGCGTTGCTTGAATATCTTGCCATGTGATTCCACAACACTCCGGGTTTGGGTCTAGTGCAGAAGAACTTGCCAACATTACTCGTTCTAAGTTGGATGAGAGAGATGCAGATATACATCAAAAAAGGGCTGGAGAAATCAGTCTTTCGAATGAGACAGGCCCTTCTACTTCAGTAGGCTCTACAGCATCTCCTTCTTTAGCTACAACCTTAGCTCCAATACTTTCATCTGGAAAGTCTACCACTACTTCTTATTTCGCCACTGCCATGTCTCCATATTTGACTCCGGGGGCCACAACAATCATACCGGTGCCAACCGTGGTGACTATGACTAGTGAATATGTTTCAACAATCACGATCTCTCAACCTCCCAGCACAGTACCTATCTCTATTCTAAATCCTACCACAGCAGGTAAGGGATCATCACCTAGCAATAAAGATACCGCAGTAAATAAAATCCCATTTACCTCCATAAAAGTTTCGGACAGCACCACTATCGAAATAATCACATTTACATCAACTTCCCGTGATCCAGACGGGACATTGGTTGGACAGATCATCACGTCGTCGTCACTGTTACGAATAGTACCGTCAACGAGCAATGTGCCAACGATAGATAGTCCCACGAACGACTCAAGTATGTTAGTCATTGTATCAACGTTCAAAAATGTCTATGAAACTACCATCTTTCCCACTAGCTCTAGTACTGCTGTCGACAGACCGGTAGCGACGAGTGCTAATTCAAGTGGAACTTTCGTGTATCATAGCAACGGCGCAGTCACTGCACTAGATCAGATCACTTATCAACAATATCTCACAGCTTAATTTTTACCACTTTTCCTGGCTATATTTTATGCGATTCCATGGCGCATTCTGGAAAACACAGTCCGATACATGGAACCCTTCTATCAACTAAGGCCATTCTCGCATTCCACAGTGTACAAAGCTATGCACATCGACTACGAGAGTCCATCGATATTCATTCTCCCTTTCAAATCTTTGTCCCGGATACACTTTACAATGTTCGTGACAAGTCTTATATCAGTCATCATGCTTGCAGTCGCACCTCTTGCTTCGCAAAACATGATAATAGTTGAAAGTGATTATTGCGTAGGAACCGGTCTTGCCACCTGCGATAGCTGGGGAATATATCCTAGTTTTGCACGACTTCTCGAAGGATTACTAGGTTCCATTGCAATATTTACCATTTTCCTGATATTTGCAGGACTACGTCGAGATAGTGGAGTATACAGCGAGCCATTGAGCTTGGTTGGGTTGGCAATCATACATCGCAAGACTCCTCTTTCATTCCAGGCGATAAGCCATAGCCAGACAAGGTTAGAAGAAGACGAGATTCGGATCCCCACTCAAGGATATACATTTCTAATGATAGCGGAAGGAGAAGTGGCCAGTACGACACAAGACTCAGCTTTCTTGAGGTCCAAGAGATGAGAAGATTCGAAGAAGACATTCTTATCGAAAGTGCTGAAAGGAATTAAGGCTCGAATACTTCACATTTGCATGCTTTGTTTGTTATGCGGCATTCTTAGCGTGGTAGCCGTATACTACCAAACAGATGCGGATACCGGATTCAATCGATTCATGAATTCACAAGGCTTCGGAGTTCGATTTTTTATGACGGCTTTGGGAACGGGAACTAATCTTCTGTGGTCGCGTATTGACAATGGTTAGTCTCTGAATTTATCAGAAACTGCTTTTCTCGGGATAGACAGTGATCACTGACTAGAACATAGATTTCCGTAAGATGGATCCTTATCATCAGCTCCTTCGTGGCAACGCCAAGCCTCAGAACCTCATCTTAGCTCCCGTGCACATGAGTCCCTATTCAGCCCTCATTCCTTCTATCGGACGGAAGCATTATCTCGTCTCTTGGATTTCATTTTGTTCGATCCTATCCGAATTCTTACCAATAACTCTGGCAAATATACCATACAGTAATACAGAGATGCGTTTAGTGCTCTTAACCTGTTTTTATCTCGCCATGGCTATACTTTCTCTCATGATTATTGGCGTTATGCTGCTCCTCCTTAGATCACGTCATGGTGTCAAGAGTCTTCCCAAAAAGCCTTGCACAATTGCAGCAAGGCTAGAGTATCTAGACCCAACTGGTGAGGTGGACGATTCGAACTTATTGAGAAGTCTTGATGGACTAGCTTCACTCGAAAGAGAGGAGAGAGATGCTGGAATTATTTCAAGGGGTAAACTATACAGTATGGGCATTGGCGAAGACGGTAAATTAAGAATTGATGAAGATGAGAGGATTGTGGGTAAATGGAGGGAGGAAAATTGTGACGGTGAAGATGTCTAATGTTGAATGCCTCTGATGATATTTAGAAACACTTATTTAGATATTAGATGCAAGATACATTCAAGATACATCAGTTTGGAATTGTAGCAGTCACAACATGAAGCGGGCGATAGATTGATGGCTATGATGGTCATGAAATGGTTTCTGGCAGAAACCTCATGCTGTGTTCCGTTAGTTGGGTGCGCGAGGTGGCACATTCATTTACCCGATACATGACGGAATTGAGGCAATCATGACGGATGAGAGCATACGTAAGGATTATTCGGATACAATGAGTTTATGGCGATTTTGATATGATCCTACTGCAATAATAACTCGTTGGTAGTACTAGATGTAAAAAGTAAGAGGACATTAGGAATACCAATTTTGATGCATTGGCTCTCAAATGACCAAAACTCTTAAAAGTTTAAATTATATGTATATCAACTTAAAACTATAAACAATAAAGCAAGGATATACAAATTACGTAGACAAGCATCCAAATCTAACTTCCTCCTTTCGCTTTCTTTCGCGCAAATGAAGCATCGTGCAATGCGCGAACCCGAGTCTCCTCTTCCAACTCCTCCCACAAAGCCCACTTACTACTTGGGTAGCTCGGTTCATTCTTCCACGCCCAATCAAGCATTAGCCAGTGTGTATGCTCGGGTAGTTCACCTTTGAACTTCGCCCAGCTGGCTGTGTCGGTATCTAGCAGTTCTTCAGCCAGCCCATCATCCCATCTGGCGCCCATTTGCCCATCAGTCAAGCCACCATAGCCTCCTACCCTACCATTATAGACAATTGCTTTCGCCAATTTACTTATGAGTTCACTAGGCCAATCGCCTTTATTGAGAACAAATGCCGAGAGTCGGGCAGACAGTTCATCAGCGAGGCCGTCTTCCTGCATTAGTAGCCACGACTTTCCCGGTTGTCTGTCCTTGTTGTCCTTGTAAAATTGAAGCTTAGCTTCAGTAAGTAGTCTTTCGCGAAAGTTCTCCGCTTCAGTAAGTTCAGAGGATTCTATGACCTCCCTGTTCTTCGAAAAGAAACTAAAATGTTTGATTAGTATTAAAATTGAATGTAAATTGACAACGAGATACTTACTACCATAATTCTAGACCGACGGCAGAGTGGATTGGACCATCGACATGCAAACTTTCAAGTTTGAGGCCTTCTCTTAGGGCCTTGAATAAACCCTGAAATGACCCTCGACATAAATAAATATGACTCAATGTTAGATGTCGCAGGGAAGAGGCGTGCCTGAGGAGAAAATTGGTCAAATCTTTCTCGCATAAGGTCATGTTATCGACTCGTAAGCGAGTCAACGAAGGCCAGGTAAAGTTCCCCAAGACCTTTCTGAGAGGCACATATTCGTAAACATTGAAATCGCAGTACCCGCCGGTAAGCAATCCCAGGTGTAAAGTCTCCAAATTCGGCGCTAATTGCGCCGCCTTCCACAGTCCAGTCCAAAATCTCTTGCTCATTGCAAATCCGCTTATTGGTTGTTGCATTCCATCAGACAACAGCTCTAGACTCTCAAGATCACGGAAAGGCTTCAGAGTATTTTCAAGCTGATTTAAATCTTGCGTGAAAAATGCGGTTGGGGCTGAATCGTGGACAAATTGACGGACTTTTACCTTGGAATTGTGTGCAGCTAGCATAACTGTCTCCAATTCTCTTGCCTTCCAGAGGCCCCCGTAAGCTTTAGGAAGGGTGACTTTCGCCCATGCGTGAGTCAAAGCTTCCGACTTGAAATTAGGAATGCTGGCCGAGAAGCGAATACAAGTGGCATTCTTTAAATCCTCAGATGCCTTGGTCATCCTTGTAAGGTCATTGTAGTTTTGAGCTGCCTTGTTCCATGATGTATACCACTGTATACAAGGTTGGTCAGTGAACGGATCAATTTTGGAATAATCAGCGTCGCCAAACTCAAAACAGGGATGAGAGGGGAACGATGCAAGCAAAAAATAGAAAGCGTAAGTAATGAGAACTAGAGTAACTGATAACAAGGTATTCGGATAGTATTTCCCAGCTATTGATGGGCTCCATTCTAGCATTTTGTTCCACATATCTGCCTTCAGCATCCCATTTAAAGGATTCCCTATATTCCTTATGTAGAACACGATACATGCCTTTTATAGGCACAAATCCCTTCTCGAATCTGATCTCCTGGACATTTTTTAACGTTCTGGGATATTCTCGAGAGATCATTTCCAACCTTTCAAGATCTAGTCTATTGGTCTGAAATGTGAAAGTTTGGATAAAGTGTTCAGAACCAAGTACTGCACATCGGTTGGAGCTCAACCTGAAGTTTTTGAGATCCTTGGTCGTTAGATAGCTGACTGCTTGAAGCCAGAGCTCGGTAGATATTGTTCTAGCATAGTTATTGTTGGCTGATGAAATTGTTGTATCATTCTTCTTAGCCGCCAATTGATCCTGCGTGAGGGTTAGCCATTACGTCAGGTAGTCAGAAGTGAAGAAAGCCATCAAACCACTTTTGACACGTTTTGGACTTGTTCTTCTGATTTCCCTGATTCTGTTTTGGTCAAGTTATCTACTTCTACTATGAACCCCGCAAGGTCGAGTACTTTCTCCGTGGGTGTCGACATTATTTCGAAATTTTGTGATTTCTCTTCTTCGTGATGGGTGTTTGGTTGTTGGTTTGAACTTGGAATGTAAAAAAACCCTCAAATTTGTATCTCGTGTAAATCATAAAGAGGGCTAAAGTAGTTCGTGAGCAAGTCTAGAACTAGTGATATTAGTTCACGATTGAATAAAGATCGCCAAAGATTTCACCCCTTTCATTGAGTTGAAGAACAGATTCACTTAAAAGTGTCATTACAGCCAAGAACTGTCAAATTAAAGTTCAACAGCATATTCCAGGGCAACACTAAAGGTGAAATCTAATCAACTTAATAGATCTAGCATGGTTTGCCAAGAAAATCTGAACAATTAAATGATGGTAGTGTTTGTTGTACTAGATCTCGTTGGACTAAAAAAACCTAACCTTATTTCAACACCAAAAGACACTTGTGCAGGCCATAGAATCCCGGGCTTTGCTTGCGAGAAAAGCTAGATTCAATATCTCGAAGTCGAGAGTCACGGGAGTCTCGAATCATGAAAAGGTCCATCATCACCTGCAATTGCGCTTGGAAAGGTGAAGTGTTGAGAAACTTGCGATATTGCCATCAATTTTACTAAAGCCGTAATAGACGAGATTTGTGGCCGTACAACTTGGAGAAAGAGACAGCTTACTCACCAAGATGCATATTATTGATCAATTCGCCACATGACAAATTTCACACTTCTGTCAATCATCTTTTAAGGTTCACGAGCCTCACTAATGTAGCATTTTAGGCTTGGCTAGCGTTTAGCCCCCAATACAGACTTTCTTCCCAAAATGGCAAATGCATGGGTCATGCTTATACATGTACATGGTCATTGGTAGTCCACAAGTCATCTCTTCAAGCCCTTAAGCGAATGAGATGTACTTTCTGTCACCTTCCTTGTGCGGCTGAAGATTTCTCATAGTTCGAGACGCAGAGAAACTTCTGGGCTCCTGGCCTTTGGCATCGCTAAGGATTCTGCCCTAACAATTCTTTTCCATTGTATTGGTGCGACTGAGTTAGCGAGATGAAAGGCAATGTATCTTCCTCTCATATTGGGTTTAGTAGTGAATACCACCACACATGGCTGAACACACTGCCCAACTCGCCAAGTATATAAGAGGGAGTAGTCTCTGCAAACTTTCCGCTTTTCGATGACTTACGACGAAAAAACTTTAGATTCTTAGACTGCTGTGTTTAGCCAGAGACAATTCGAATCAAAAATACTCTCACATCTCAAAATGTTGAAATCGCCATATGATGCCGTGCCACAAACCCCACTGTCTCCGAGAACACCTTCAACAGCTTCGACACCTGGAACTCCACAATATAACGAGTCATATCCTTTAACAGCGCGAGATCCAAGTCATCATTATCCAGCATCACCCCCTTCAAACAATCATTATAGTCGATTGACTAACGAGGCCCACCTCGAGCCAGACAATTCCTATAATCCTATAACCAGTACACAACCTACGAGTCTCCTTCATCAGGACCTGATGAAGCAAGATCAAGTGAGCAAAACTATTTCATAGTTTGAGCTCATAATTAACGTTATTGGTCTATAGAAACTCAAGCGCCGTATACGTATCCTCCGATTCATCTCTCGAGTCCTCATCACTGGCCTCACCGTAGCGATAGCCGTAGAAGAAGGCAGAACACTTCTAAACTTCCTCGAGACTCACAATGATATTCGAAGCCCACCTGGATCGCCAACACCCCGCGGGCCTTGGGCTCTCCAAACGCAGCTTTGGTCAGCAGTCCTTCTTTTCATCACTTGCGTGATTACAGCCATTCTCGGGCTGATTTCGGTTATTTCCTATCTTGTTTCCATCAAAGCCGCAAATTCTATCAGTAGTATGAATACAAAGTTTGGTATCGCAACTGAAAGCATTCATATTGCGACTTGGATTGCAGTGGCAACAGCTTATCGAGTGGCTAAGAATGGAAAGGACCTTTGGGGGTGGGCTTGTAGTCCACTGGCTGAAAAGATCCAGCCAACCTTTCAGAATGTCGTCAATTTTAAGAACGTTTGCGATCGAAGCGTAAGTTCAAGATCTAATTTGTATATCCACAAACAAATGGCTGATTATTCCTATGAGTAGGGTGTCAATTTCAAACTCTCTATAGCAAACTCGGGTTTGCAAGTTGCAAGTCTTGGGATATGGATTCTAGTATACAAGAGGATGAGAACTCTTCAGTGGTTGAAACGAGCAGAATCTCAGCCCAAGTTTTAAAAGTACATAGACCTAGCGGAAAAAATGTTTCTAATGTTTCTAATGTTTACAATAGTCATCACTTCATGTTTTCATCACACAAGTTCTCTCCAAGCAGGAGCCCAGTCTTCCCTCTTCTCTCGTCCCATGATTGAAAACCTCAACCCTCTCTACAAAATTGCTATCTCCAACATCAATCAATCCATCTCAACAAACCTCTCCTTCAAACAACACCTCACCTGTACCGGAATCGCAAAGCTGATTTGATTACACACAAAGAGAGTGAGAGAACCAGAGAGATTTAGGATTAGTACCTGAGCCTAACCTTAGCAAGCCAAAAGAGAAGCTTAAACACAAACAACTACCAGGAAGATATATGGAAATATAGAACACGATGAAACTCATCCAAGAGTTGAAGTGTGTGTGAGTTCCCGGGTCCAGAATGGATAATGCGTTTTTGCCATGTAAACAGATAGGAAGACTCGCACAAGAAGACCAGCACCCGCAAATCTCCAAATCCCATCCCCAAAAGAAACCCCCACCAAGATCGCTCTTCCACATCTCAATAATCGCCAGTCTATAGGTCAGTCCATCCATGGATGTTCCAGCAAAGATAAAACTCCACTCCACAAAAAGAACAAAATTTCACAAGTTCCCACGAGACTTCAAATTCAACAAGACCAACACCATCCACCTACTGACAAATTTTTCGCTACAAGAAAACTCTGTGAACTCCAAATCAACATTAACCTTATTCAAGACACCTTCTCCTCCTCCTCCGACTCCTCTGCGACCAAAAAAAAAGAAAATTAGGATAATCATACCTACCTACCTATCTCCTCTCACCATACCATAGAAATCCACCCCCACCCCCCCTCTTCTTCAAATGACCAGCCCATGCAACCTCAAAATCCCCACAAACCTAAATCTTCCCATCCCATCTCATCTCATCCCCTGACCCCCAACCCGAACCCCGCACTCGGTTCCCCCCTAGGCCTTTCCCCACACTACACTACATTACCCCAAATTACCCCAATCTAATCTAGCGCACTAACCACCCTCTACCGAGCAAATACCGAGGATAGCGTTGCCGGGGGCCGAGTACGTACCGTGCCGCACCGTCCAATGAGTAACTGTATTTTTTTTTATAGCACAGATACCTACCCGAGGATAAGGCGTGCGCATATCTAATCTATATATATATATATACTATCCAAGTTTCCCTCTCCCACTTCTTAGAACTCCACCTCATTATCGTCTCACAACGTTGAGAAAAGAAAATTCATCATTGCAGTATCAGGCAGATAACACAATAATGGTATCCAATCAATTCATTCATTCTATTATAAGACCTGCTAACTGAGCAACTTTTGTAATGCAAAACACAACGCCTCAAACCCATTCATAATATGGTCTGACAGTCTATCTTCATTCTCTCTTCATTATATTCTATCCCAGATCCTCAGTCGCCGCCCGAGCGCAAACCATACACCACAGATCCATCATTCTCATTCAACATTGGAAACCAAAAAGTTGAATGCAGATACCGAATCATTTATCGAGTACCAACCCAGCCCAACCTAACCCAACCATATATAAGAAGCGACGCCATTTTTTGATGCAAAGATATAATTCCCAAGAATTGGGTCTATCATCATATTCAAGTCTCGTCCATGTTTAACATCAAATTTTGGATAACAAGACGAGTGTCCATCGATAGTACCTCGAAATCTCAGATCCAAACGCCAATTATTTCCCCATCCCATGCGTATTGGCGCCAAAGTTGCCCATTGAGGGCTTCATCAAAAGCTATCCGACCGAACCGTTTCATAGTACACCATATGACAAGTCTTACTCAGGACTGCCAGCTTCCACCGGCCAAATTTGGGAATGATCGAATGAAGAAAACTTGACACCTAAAGCCATTAAACATGCTTAAATGCCCAGAACATCCATGTAAGGTTGATCGAACAGCGTAAGATTGTCCCCAGGTTGAGGACTAGGCATTCTGCTACCGAATCCCGGAATCTCTCTACTGAATAGATCCATATCATAAAATCCTCCCGATTCACCACCATCATTATAGTTGATGTCCAAGAACTCAAACATATCATTTGGATCATTGGAGACCTTCGAGCCTGTTCCACCAAGAACAGCGTCACTATCTGGAGGCGAATGAGCAAAGTGGCCATTGTATATCGCAGTTGAACTATCAACGAGAGTTCCCAAAGACTCGAAACCATTTAATTGAGTGTCAACTGGTGGCGTGATCCTTTCATCCAAAGACCGCTGTGCCCGCTCGAGCTGTGCCCGCTTCCTCTCGTATGCCAAAGCCGCTTTGCGCTTAGCATCTTCACGTCTTGCCGCCTCTCTAGCACGGCCTATAATTTCCTCCATGCCTGCTTTTCGAACGGCTGCCTCTAAGAATTGAGTAGCGTAATCCGCTGAAGAGTAATTATCGCGCAAACTCTCGAGAACAGTCATACATAGACAAAAGCCTTCTAGAGCAGGCTGTCTCTCATTCTCTTGTGGAGACCTGACCAACAATAAATGAATGATGATAGCTGGAAGTAGAGCTGTCACGCCAGTAGTAGGAAGGTATCTCTCCAGATCATAATTATGCATGTCATGAACAATGTTCGTAGTCCCAATAGCAGCATTGGTCACCACTTCACGTGAAAGCGCGAAAAGCGTCTGTGGTTCCGGTTGATTTGGTCCTGCAGGTAAAACTCGTGGTCTGTGCAAGGCAGAGGTCGCAGTGAAATAAATCATATGTAACAATGAACA